CACTTATGACTTGGATGTTGACGTGCTGTCTGAAAGTCGGAAACCGATAACTACAATAAGTGATACATAAACACGGAATAAAAAGTTTCATTACAGGAAGTTTAGTGTCACATAAATATATTATGTGATTACAGGTTAATGGCTGGTATAAATAGAGACTTCGGGGCAATATTAAATCATTCTTAACTTTTTAATCAATAAAATGTCATAAAATAGTGAAAATTGTCCATTAAAAGTTTCCAGAATTTAAGGCTTCGGTCCAAAACCCAAAAGATATTCAGCTAACGATGATTTAAAAAAAAGAAAAGCAACAACATAATTTGAGTTATTAACAATTAATTAATCATGAATGTTTTTGTTGATTAATTTGACTATTTTATGCCCCACAGTGAAGTCAAGGGATTTAATTTAGGTGGCTCTATGGGGGTAATTAAACCGATTGTCGTTAATTATTCCCATGATAATCACTATGTAAGCATTCTTCTTTTAAGGGAAGCGAGCTGACTTACACAACACTCTCCAGTGTTTTCCTCTTCCCCCTGCAGGATAAATCAGCTCTCTGTCTTATTTTTTTTTACTGCAAATCTGTTGCTTCTGCTACACTCCCTAAAAGATGACATGAGATTTGTTCCCACGCTTGTGTCTCACCCACTGCTGGTGTGTTTAACGCTGTTGACAGGAGCCCTTTTCGCTGCAGGTCTAAAACCTTCAGGGACGTTAGGGGGAAGTGTAATGTCTTGCTGCGGATCGTATGCGTGTGAATTGCGTGTGAAAGAGACGTTAGAGGTTTCTAATGAGGCGCGAGGGTTGTGTTAATGAAGTCACGAAAGGATATCCAGGTTTATAGCGAAGGTGTGTCAGCAGTGGATGTAGACAGGAAGTCACACGTTTATTGGAGGCGTCACCTTGGAGACTTTTCACTGTGGTATCTTGTTATTAATCAGTGTGTGTACTTTCTGTCTTCCAGCTCTGCCTCTGCAGCCAGAGTCCATCCAGAATGGGGACAAGTCTTCGGGGAAGGACCCTCTGACTTCTGACGACTCAGCCATCGCAGACCTCTCTCCTAAAACAGACTCCAGCCCCCAAACAGAGACCCCCACCAATACAGATGCCTCCTCCAAGACAGATGTCAGGCCATCCACCCCGGGCAGCAGCAGCAGCCCTCAGCCCAAGAAAGGTAACATTATGGATGTTTTTGTTGTTCAATATCCGTCATATACGCACAGGCTTGATTTAGCCTGCAAAGTCCAACATGTAAACATGGTAATAAATCAGATTTACTTTAAACTTTAAACCATAAAATGTATCAGCGTTAGGCAGTAAAACATCAAACCCATATCAGATAATTTCTAGCTCTGCAGTAGAAATGGTCCGCCAGTGCCTACACATACTTATTGTGACGTAATTCCCTTTGAGTATCTTGAAATGATTCATATCCCTAAAATCTGTACGACCTAAGCCGAAAGGTTATATCAGTCAATAAACCATAATTACTGAAAAAAATATTGAAATTCATCATAAATACAACAATTTGACCAGTTGGTATCACAGCGTATCGTCAGTAGTGACGTCACCCAGAGTGCACGACATGACCATGTTAAAGACAGAAGCCGCAGCTTTCTGCTGCAAAAAGAATGAATGCTCTAGCTATTATAGTTTTTATTTTAGATTGATTAAAGCAGGATAATGTGGGAGGTCTGCTTTTAGAGGGTTAAGTGATTATTTATTGTTTATTTACACCTGAATATTACACCCATATGTGATTGTTTAACAGTCAGCGTTAACGTGCTGCTATAATATCCTTCACTCTTCTGGGAAGACTTTCCACAAGGTTTTGGAACTTGACCGCGGGCGTTTACTCCCACTGCGCCACCGGAGAATTAGTGATTGGGAGATAACGCCAGGCTCGATCCAGTTTCTTCCAAAGAAGCTGGATGGGGTTGAGGTCAGGACCTTTCAAGTTCTTCCACAACAAACCGGGAACTCCATTTCTTCATCGACTTGAGCACAAATTCATTGTTGAAACAGGAAAGTTTATGTAGAATACTGTTTAACACAGTGGTTCCCCAACATTTTACCTTTTTCATATTATATTAAAAACTGTACAATTAACCCAAATAGTGAACTCAGTAACTGCAAGAAGTTTGTGTGCAAAAAAGTGATTTGGATTAATTTTGGTCAGACTATTTTCTGTTTTTATACAATTCTATGTCTATATTATTATATTTTTTTAAATCATTTTTAACATCATACAGACTTAACAGACCTATTTTCAACAAATTCAGTGTTTTCTTCTCATTGTTCTATCAGCTCATCATGAGGCTGTTTATCAGAGAGCTCTGTGGATATAGCTTGTGTTCAGATCTTCAAAGTTTAAATCTTAAATAACATTTGGAACATGAAAAAAAATAACAATTTGATTTAGTTTTCTTCACAGAAATGAACAAAATGCTGCGATATAGGCCTACTGTGTATAGTTTTTTATGTTTTCTAACATGACTTAAAATCAAGAAGGTCACACAACCCCCCTGTGAAGCTTTGGACGACCCCTAGTCTGAGTCCAGACCCCCAGGTTGGGAACCACTGGTCTAGCATTAATCTTTACGTTTGTTTAACTTTAAAAAACAGCCCCATAATTACCCAAATATTTGTGGACAGGGGAGTCCATATACTACATTTTCAGTGAACATGAAACTTGCATTTTATTAAAAGTTAATCCAACTAGTAAGCTTAGTAACTTGTTACAGCCAAGTTAAGAATATGTGTGTACTGGCACTTGTGTGCTTCGTTTGCAGGCATCGGGCAGACAACAGGGTGCTGCGATCAGATAGGTAGAAAGGTAATTAAAGCAGAGCGATGCAGTGTGGAGATATCGCCGCTCATTCGAAGGCCTGTCGATACCAGACACAATGCAAGGTCATAGTTGTTATAATGTGGAGTTATAATAATAATAATAACCAATAGCTACAGATTTTTTAATCAGAAGAAAATGCTGCAGTTTTCCCTTTATTTCTGTTTCCAAACTGGTCAATTCTCTACCTGGTTTTCCTCAGTTTTAGCTGTTCAATAGCTGATGAAGTGTAAAACACGTATTCAGCGTTTTCTCACTGCTTCTGCCTGGCCATGTGACCGTGTCAGACTGCGGGTTCATTTGTTTTCTGATCAAAACCTGCTCCGTGTAAATCGTTCAGTTGCTCCCATAAACCACTGCAGTGCCAGAATAAAGCTCTTTAAAAGTATGAAAGGACAAGGAGTGTTAATTAAGGCAGCTTATTTTTTATCCTCCATGTTTTCATTTCTGACCTTCAAAGACATGATTTTTACATACTTTCTGTCCTAATGGAAGTTTCTATGCGTATTGTGTCGGTCCCACCAGACAGATGGTAGTGGCTGAAAGCCAAATTGTCATTTGCTATGGGGAGACAGGACGTATAGTGGGGAGGAAGACTGATCGGGGGGGAAGGTTGAGGCGGGGAGAGGCTGATGTATTAAGTGACGTCTCAGTGCGGTGAGACCTCCAGGACGATGAGATTTATTTTCACTCCTTAGTGTCTGCATATCAGCCAAAGTGTACGGCCGTGTAGGAAACTCTCTGAAAGGTGGGGAGGAAGAGGAGGAGGATAGGGTGGTGGATTCAGGTTGCCATGGAGACGGGGCTGAAGTGCTGCAGGGCCCTCTGTGATTGGTTGACAATGTGTGGCATACATATTACATAGCACGGAGAAGAAGGGCTCAGCGAGCACCCCAGGGGTCCTGGTTTTTCAACGGTGTGCCACGTCTCCTCAGTCATGGCTTCTCACAGACAGTTTTAACGCGGAAAGAGCAACGCAAATCCTTGTGTTACCCCGCCGCGTCTTTTTAGGCATTCAAGCTCATTATCACTGCAGATAAGAGCGGCTGAAAAGCTTGTGTGAGTTTAACATCGGCAGTGTTGAGGGAGAGATGGAGCTGCACTGACCTTGAAACTAAATCAATGAATAAAACCTGCAGATCTGAATTAAACTTCCTCTAGTTTCAAGGTTTTATGTATTAAGAAGTGTCTATTTAATGCATTTATCTGTGACAGGTTAAAGTAGTGTTGGGCAATATACTGGATGACTCGGGGGAACCGGTTTTAATTTCCTGTATGATATTCATTTTTCATAAACCGCCATACCGGTGCAGAGCTGAAACAACCGAAACACATATTGTTTATTTGTTTTGAAAAGGAAGCAATGTTAAAGTTTTTGACATATCTTTTTCATTTTTAAGCCTTTTTTTATGAAGTTGCAATTTATATTATTATTATTAATATATCTGATTTCTTCATATATTGTATCATTTTGTTCGGCCAAGAAAACCCTATTATCAAAAACTTTAGTATATACATGATGGCATTTAAATTGACTTTTGGTCATCCCATCCAGCACTGTGTTGAAGGCTCAGTTCAGCCAAATGACAAAATAAGTGAATATTTTTCTCAATTACCTCAAGTGGAATCTATTCATACAATAATTATGGAGTATGCCACCATCCCAATGCAGTCAAAGTCAATCAAATCTGCTTTGTAGTTCTACTACAAATAATCTAAAGTCTTTCCAGAAACAATGTTGCTGTTAATATGGACAACCGTAACTACTTTCTGTTGAGGAAATGTTTTTCTAATTTGATTAAAAGTTAAACAGTGGAAGACTGAGGGTTAGATCACAATGAACTGGGGAATTTATTATAAATTCAACAGCAATGTGTTACTCCTGATCATCCACAGTGCTGTTTTTAAGTGTTGTTTTTGTGCTGTGTTAGGATTGAGGATTAATCAGAGTACCAGAGACTTTAAGTCAGGAATGATGCATTCTTGTTGACTTTTTATGTTTTAAAATACATTTTAAATAAATCCTTTTCTGCCGCTTCTGCCGGGTGTAGTACTGTGTACTGTGTAGTGTCAGGAAGCCAAGCAAGGTATCCCAGACGTTATTCTCTTCCAGCTACTCTTGAGAGATCCCACGACATTCCCAGGCCAGATGGGATATGTAATCCCCCTCAGCCTGTTCTGGGTCTGCCTGCCTGCTCCTCTCAGTTGGAGTTGTTCCTGAAAACCCTCCAGAGGGAGGCGTCTAGAACGCATCCTAATCAGATGCTCGAACCATCTCTACTGATTCACTCTGATGTGATCGAGCCGAGGTTCTGCTCCAAGCTCCTTCCGGATGTCTGAGCTCCTCGCCTCATCTCTAATACCCCAACGGGCGCTGGTTGGTTATTTGATGATCTGCTCAGGCGTCTCGGGATTGGTTAAAGTTAATTCACTGGTACCGAAGTTTGAACACCATTTAAGTGACTCAATAAAAAGAGAGAGAGAGAAATAAAAAGCAAGAGAGAATGAATGTGCATGTGGAAAGACTGAAAGATTTGGTAATTATCTGAGGTTTATCAGTGAGGTTTTCGAACTACTCTGCATACTGGAGTCTCTGCTAACAGTGAGAAGCAGGGCGACAGCTGTCTCGTATGATCAGCTCCAACGTGTGGTCAAAAACATGTTAATTAGACCTGCGAGATACATGCACCTGCTGTCTGAGAGTGAGCTGTTCCATGCTGTGCAGAAAACTCACAATCTCCTGATTTCACAATTCATATTAAAGGGCTGTATGGAAACCAGAGGACCTGCAACCTCTGTAGTGACAATTGTATTGTACTGTATTTTATTTGAATTTAAGAATGTAAACATAATGAATTATAGAGAAAGATTTCTGCCAAAGTATGTGATCATGGTCCTCATCAATACAATCAATACAAACTGATTTGTTCATTGTTTATTGATGGTTATTTGATGTTTTTTCATTTATGGGCAGTAGTTCAGTTCGTAGAAAATACATACAGTACAATTGAAAGCTGCTCTAAACAATATTTTTATATCAACAATGAAAAAAAAAGACCATATGTAATGTGAAAGGGTTCTCTGGTACTGATGAGGGAATTATCACCCTCAGCTTTATGGTTCCTCAGAGCTTTTATGGGCTTTTATTCATTAGGTTGACAGAAACACGACTCCAAATGGATCATAATGTTGCTCCGTAACTGCTGGATGTTGCTTACAAGTTTTCATTTCTTAAAAGGTGCTAATTTGTCAATGTTGTGTTTGCAGCTTCTTGCACTGCCCCCTAGTGGCCAAAAAAACAAGCAGTTATGGCAGGTTTAAGATGAATTTATATTTTTCTTTACAGATTCGATGAGTTCAGAGCAACGGCAGAAACTTGCCAAGGAGCGGAGAGAGGAAAGAGCTCGATATATCGGTAAGAAATGATAAAACAATATTGACATCAGGCTTAAAGATCCAGTGTGTAACATTCAGGATTTATTGTCAGAAATATAATATTCATAGGTATGTTTTCATGAGTGTATAATCACCTGAATATAGGAATCATTGTGTTTTTGTTACAGTAGAATGTTTTAACCTACAGACACGGCAAGTCGCCTTCCACGTTGAACCACGTTTCTACAGTAGCCCAGAACGGACAAACCAAACACTGGCTATAGGGTCTTTTGTGTTTTTTCGCGAGTTTCACAGCCACCTTAGCTTCTCCAACACACTTCACAGCCCATTCTCATTCCCAAGTCATCAAATACAGACACTAGTGGTGTCCCGTTAGTTGCAATCTGCTGCCATTAAATCCTACACACTCGACCTTTAACTCTGTTTTAAATTGGATTTTCCTGGTGCATGAATTTGTTGTTACTAACTTGCTGCATGCAGATCTTCTCTTCAATTCTCAAATGTAGTATTAACTTTCCTTTTTCCTCTGTCACTCTGCTATGACGGTTGTTGACGTCTTATGTTGTTTCTCCTTGCATGGCTTTCAGAACAGCAAACTCAGCTGCAAGGTAAGGGGCTTGACGGTCATGCCATTCGGGAATAATCAAACTTGTTATGGGAATCCCATTTCCTTCCATTTACCCCTGCTCCGGCCTGAACAGTCGCTCTCTTTCTTCATCCCTCCATGAATCGATTACGTTGTTCATTTGGTTTTCTGTCGTCATTCGGTGGAAAGTTTTGAACCTGGTGAACCCCTCAGCAGTTTCACTTTTGATTACCCACTCTTGTTATGTTTAAAGTAATTTTACTTTATGTTCTTCTTGCATTCCCACCCAGCGTGCATGTCCCATACCTATAATCATGGTTTGACTTTGTGGCTCCAGAATGAAACATTTTCCTCTTATGAAAATACTGTGCTTGCCCAAAGACATGAAAGACTATATCTAGTGTTCAAACACTGGGCTTCTCCCTGTGGATGAAGGCCAAAGCATGAGCAGCCAATCAGAGCAGAGCTTGGTCGGACGTTTCCGTGCAAAGACGTCCTACGGGCGTGAAAAATGAGCAGTCATTAGCATGAACTGATATCAGGCCTCTCAGACAGATTAGATTTAATTACTGCTTTCATTAGCATCAATAATGTGGTCATGCTGCGGCCGCAGCACACTTAAAGGGGGATTCTGCCGATTTTGTATCCATAATATCTGAGGTTTACTCAGCTTCAGTTGCTCTGTGATAAGTTTAGTCTCCTGCAGTCTGCTTCTGTCTGTAATTACATGGTACAATGTTAAGGCTTTTTTTAAAGTGGAGCATGCAATTTGTCCAAAACAGTATGCACAGAATGGAATATAGGTCACAAAACATGATGTTTGCTGTACATTTATCGCTTAAGCAACAGTTATATTTGAATATTTTTTAAAAAAGATTAGCCTTATTGTTATGTAACAGCAAATGCGCGCTGAATAATGCAAAATGAAAATGTGAAACGCTGCACAGAATGCAGACATAATTGGATTTTTTCAGGAATTGGATTTAGGGAGGAACGAAGAACGCTTTCTCATTGTTGAAGAGGCTCAGACTCGTGTGTCTCTTTGGCTCATTACTAAAGATGAGCTGCAGAACGCTGAACTAAATACAAAACACGTCTTTGCCTCACAATGCTGCTACATCCTCGCAGAGCTAAATCCACCAAAAAGTATTTCTAATGCCGTCTAACTCACAGCATTATGAAGTAACCATGTAACCCGCCCACATCATCATCCATACTCACATTTTCATTGTCTCCACTGTGCTAAAAATATGTTGTCTAAGCAGACTTCTATGCAAATGATGAGAAAAAATGTAAATCTGAAGTATAGGAGAGAGAGCGACACAGCTGTCGTCCAGTGTAACGCAGTTTAATTTAGGAGGATTGATTGCTATTTAATTGTTCCTCCAAGAAATGAGCCACAGCAGCGTATGTGCAAAGAAAACCTGGCATCTGCTGGAGGCTGCTGTAAAAAACAGCGGGAAACTTCTGCTTATTTACTGTTATCAGGATTATAGCATATTGAACTCAGTGTCTCCCATCTGCGTGGTGGAAGAGGCCTATCAAAGTCGTATTGGTGCAAAATAGGTCCAGAATCTGCATAGAAAAGGTCTATTTTTTTACTGAATTATTACTCTCTAAAATCAGTATCGGTTTCAAAACTCCCATATCAGTCGGGCTCTAATTGCCATGAAATTTGGTGCAACTATTCATCCAGAGGACGAATCCTATGATTTTAGTGATTTCCTGACTCTTCTCTAGCATCAAAGCTTTCTTTTATCCAGGGAAAAATCTCCACTTCTCTACAAGATGGATTGGCACCAGATTTTGCACAAACAGAGGCTCCCAGAAGATGACTGTTGACTTTGGCTTCCTCCTAAATTTTCCTCTAGTGCTGCCACGAGCGAAATGTCTCGACAACTATTGTATGGATTATGCTATTGCTAATTAATGACATTATTATCAAGCTCAGCTGTACTCTGTGTTCTAACTCTTTGTGCTAATGTTAACCCCCCAAATTAAAATAAAACATGGTAAAAATCACCTCCTAAATGGGATGGTGTAACTTTGTTATTTGTGTTAGCAGGTTGAAAAGCACAGATGTGACTGAGTACAACTCACCTGTAGTATTTTCTAAACAGTATTTAGTTAAAGTAAAAGCGTATTATTATTAGGATTTTAGATAGAAATGGGCTGGACTTTCTAAACAAAAGTGAGAAAACAATTGGGCAACACTAGCTTTATTCCTCTTTAACCCTTGATAACAGAGATTTGTATTACTCTGTCTTATTTTTCGGTATAATTTTAAAACCTCTCTCTCTGTGGCGGCAGCGGCGAAGAAAGCCCAGTGGCTGGAGAAGGAGGACAAAGCCCGACGTCTGAGGGAGAGCCAGCTGGAGGATCGCAGAAAGAAGCTGGAGGAGCAGAGGCTGAAGGCTGAGAAACGCCGAGCTCTGCTGGAGGAGAAACAGAGACAGAAACTAGAAAAGAACAAGGTGAGAAAATGCAAAAACAACCAACTTTAACTGAAGACGTAGCAGCTTAAAACCATCCAATATAAAGCTAATATGCCTGTAATTCACATATCTTCTCCATGGGCTAATATTCAATAACACAGACAGATTTCTTTTATTTCCAGTCACAGAACTGTGCTCCTGCTCTCCAACATATTTAGTGTCAGGGTGGAAAAATCAACACTATGCCAGTGTTTGTGCAAGCTTAATGCTTAGAGCAGTTTCTGACCATTGGAAAATTGCCTGTGTAACAGAGATTTGGTGCCATCTTGACTATCAGTCGTGAAGCCAAGTGTCGGCACACAGCCAGTTTTCCAGCGGTCATAAGTGCAGCTTTTTTTATTGGCTGTAATTTGAGTTAACAGTTATTGATCACAGCAGTGCTTCTCTACTTTTTTGGCTTCCGACCTTTTTAAACAACTTGACAAACTCATTGTCAAGTTGTGAGCACTTCTGCTTAACAGTTATTTTTCCTTCTAACTGCAGAACGTTAACATTTGAGTCATTGCTGAAGGATGGTATTTGCTTTCTTGTCGAGAGTTCAATGAGACAGCTCGTATTTTTACAGCCAGCAGGCTGTTAGCGGCGTAGCATAAAGAGTGGCGCGTTTCAAGGCCTCCGTAGTTTCTCCTTTGCACTTGGAAGTGGAGGGTGAAGCGAGGGAGTTACTACACTGGTCCTTTAAGCTCACTAATTAAAGGACTAGTTCAACTTTTTGGGAAGTATATGCTTATTTGCTTTCTTGCCAAGAGTTAGATGACAAGATTGATATCACTCTCATGTCTGTAAGTTAGCTTAGCTTAACACAAAGATTGGAAATCAGGCGTCATTGTGAGGTTGCCAGGCAACCAGTGGAGTCTCCAGGAAGTCACTCACTACCACCCCCATAAAACCACAACATGACGTTTTTGTGTGTGGATTAAACAAACAAGACATAAAGTGTTAATTAGTGAGCTTTAAAGTAGCTGGTAAGCAGAATTTTTTCTTATCTTTGGGTAGAGCCAGGCTAGCTTACCCCCTTGTTTTCAGTCTTTATGCTAAGCTAAGCTAACTGCCAGGTGTGGATGCACAGTTACACTACTCTACGCAAGCCAGCAAATTTGCACATTTCCCAAAACGCTCAACTACTCCTTTCAAACTGTTAAGAGAGTGAATACGTGCACAGACTGACTCAGCTTTGACCACGTGGTCGTTCCAGGAGAGATACGAAGCAGCTATCAAGAGGTCGACGAAGAAGACGTGGGCCGAGATCCGCCAGCAGAGGTGGTCCTGGGCGGGCGGACTTAACCAGACCTCCCGCAGAGAAAGTGAGTCTCAAATGAACCACAAACCCCACGGACACTCATAGAAGCACAATCACAATGCCAGGAATGTATCACATCCTCACAGTCAAACACAATCCTGCACAAGACTGTGACTCACTGGTCCAACTGATGCAATTCAAGGAAATAGCTCATGAAGGGTTTGCTGTCATAAGGGCGGGGGCACCAGAGGCAGATGACCTACTCAGTAATTTATGATGATAAACCTTTGTAATTCCTTTGTGAATGTCTCTGTATTTAAGGCAGAAATTTGGGTTTGTGAACCAGTTTTCTCCATTTAAAAGTGATCACAGAGGCCGAGAGAAGAGCAAAGGTAGCTGCCGTGAACACATTTCATTAGATCAACAGTGTTAACAGTGTTTTTTCAGAGAGCTGCGAGCTAATTTCCCTTTTCAGACTGTCCTGTTTTGGGTGTCAAACATGTGACGAGCTGCTTCTGTTGGACCCGTGACACTGAGGTCAAGACAAGTTTCTCTCCTTCAACTGAGTGCGAAAGATCCTGAATGTGTGCGAGAGCGTGTGCGTGTGTGTGATATTTTATGCAAATTTCTTGCAGCAGCATTAAAAAAATAACTAAAAAAAGAAGTAGTTACTCTTACATGTGATTTCTATATACCACACCCTTCCCACACTTTCCTCAAATTTCCTCCCCATTTCCCGAAAGATTAATCTCCTCCTAAATGTTAATGAGAAGCCAGTTTGACCTCAGAGAACGGTGAGTCCCTGCTCTCCTCCAGATCCAGACCGAGGGAGTCGGCAGCAGCCCCCCGTCTCTCTTATGAGTCCTCAGCTTTGGAGGGGGGGTGCCGCCCGCACCCCGGCCCGCCTTGTGAACAGTTGTTGTCTGTTGCGTTCTCTCCGGTGCAGGCAGATGCTCGGCCTCCACGGTCAACTTGCCGAGACAGGTGGACCCTGTCATTAACAACAGGCTGTCCAAGTCCTCTGCCACGCTCTGGAACTCCCCCAACAGAAGTAAGGACGACCCGACGTCAATGTCCACCAGGCTTCCTCTTCCCTCCCTTTCCCTTCCTATTCATCCCCCTCCACCTCCTCCCCCCCTTCCTTACCCTAATCTGGTTTTTGGTTTTCTTATTTTTTTATTATTATAACTGTCGTCGTTGGTGGCCTGCCTGCCTGCCTGTGCTTGGTGACTGGTCATTTACCACCTACTCCCTCCTCTTATCACGCTCTCGGTCTCGTATGCATCGTGGTTTTTTGATTTCAGTTGGTGGTTGTCATTGATTTGAGTCTCCTCTGCATTTTTGATCAGCCCCCCTTTCACATCAACATCACTGAGTCATATTTTGTGATAAATATATATAATTTGGTGTGTTTCAGTTCACATCTTGTCACAACACCTTCTTTATTGGTTGTCCCCCTCCACTTTACTGTTGCTGGTTTGGTGTGGTGGTGGTATTGGTGGTATTGGTGGTGGATTTTATAGTGTGACTGTTGCAAATGAAAGTAGAGCAACTAAGTGCACATGCATTGTGTTATATTTTGGTTGTATGTTTTATTTTATGTATGAACTACAGTTTACAGCCTGTTTCCATAGAGATTAAGTTATTTATAGCAACGTAGGCAAAATAAATGTGCTCAGTTTCTCGTTGTAACACAATCCTTTTTTACATTATTTCAAGATATTTTTAATGTTGCTGTGACGTGTTTTCTTGTTATTACTACATAAATTATAAATTATTTCATGTTATAACAACACATTACTTTATCTTGTTATATCCCAAACATCCCTGTAATGACACAAAAGCAACATAAGGATTAAAACAAGAAACTTTTCTCATCATACCGTAGTCAGTTGGTTGACAGTGAGACTGAAGCTGAACACCAATCACTGTGATTGGTCATAAGTCCCGCCCCCTTTTGGCTCGGTGCTCCAATAACAGTTGAGCAACCCTCGTTCAACTTTAGCGGCGTCATCATTTCATAAACTTCAATTTATAAACTAGTAGTACGTTTTTGACAAATTAAACAAATTTTTAAATAATAATGCCGCCACAGGAAGAGTCAGGGGGGTCTCTAGAGTCATTAGGGGATCCTCAATTATCCTAAATAATCTATTCAAATATTTGTTTTTCAGTCTGGATCAAAAGACCTACATTGCTGTCCACAGAGCCGTGCTGCTAAAAACATCCATATATTGTTTTGTGATATAAAAAGATAAAGTGCGACGCTGTTATAACAAGAAAGGTGTCTAGTAGTGTCGTAAAAACAAGGAAAATATGTCAAAATAACATCCAAAATATCTTGTTATAACACCAAAAAAAAGGATTTTTACATTATAACAAGAAACTGAGCAAATGTGTTTTTGTCATTGTGGCATAAAACACGCTGCCGTTTTAAGAAACATATTTAAATTAACTTGTCATATCAAACTCATTTCATCCGACTCCTGAGTTGCCACATGTACATACGCAGCACTTGTCTTCATCTCAGATTCGTCACGCCTCATAACATGTGCCATTATAGATCGTATCACCCACAGTGCAATCAGCAGTTCGCCTCTCGGCTCCCTCGTCGCCACAATAGAGACTCAGACATTCGTGCCTTTTATCATAACGCTAAAACAGATGCCCCGATACTGCGGGGGAACACTCTGCAGCGCCAGAGTCGATATCAGAGCTGGTGTTATTGGCCTTGGGAGATGCTCTGCACAGTGTACCAGTAATAGTGTGGTGGTTGGGGTGGTTAAGGGGGGTAGTGATGTTGGCCTGGTGACATTTATAGATCCAGGCCTCAATCTACCTCGAGGAGAGCAGTCGATCAACCAGGCAGCAGCTCAGCCACCTCTTGCCGCATTGGAGAAAGAAGAAGAAGGATGCGGAGGAGGAGGAGGAGGAGGAGGGGAAACGACTGTTGCCTAGCAACAGGAGGTAGTTCAAGTTATCAGTTAGGCATAAAACGTGTTGTTAAAAATGATCCGGCCAGCGTGCAGCAGAGGTGACTGCCTGTGCTGTTACATAAGAGGGCCTGTTTATGATACAAGGAGTGTTTTTATGTTATAAAGACTCGCGCACTGTTGTGATTGCACTATTATCATGTGTATGTGTGGTATGTGTTTGTAGGTGTCGTACATACCTTTGTGTAGTCAGCGGAGTGATACCAGTACAATAGAGCAGTGAGAGGAGAAGAGGCAGTACAAATGGACGAGCTGTCACTAAAAAAAACAACAAAAAACATCTATGCACATCATGTTGTCAGTGGACGTTTTTGTTACGAGAGGCAGGAAGCTCGCTGTCGTATTTCATTAGCTCTCATGTTGAGATGGTACATTCTGTGTCCATCTGTATGTTCGTGTCTTCTGTGCACTCGCGTGTTCTCTGTTGTGTTTTACTGTGGAGCAGAAAGGAGGTCAGCAAAAGCAAAATAACTCAAACACAATGTCAGGTTACTAGAAGTCAGATCTTTTACTTAAAGGAAGAGTTCAGCTTTCTTTCAGCAAGAGTTGGCTGAGAAGATTGATGCCACTCTTGTGTACAGTAAAATATAATAATAGTAAAAATACTTTTGTAGCCAAATTACTGCTTTCAGTGTTATTGCTATTATTGCTATTGTATATTATTATTATTATTGGCGCATTAACATGTAAGAAGTAGTTTTAACTGCTCTATATTCTGTACTTTCATCCCTAAAAACTGATATATGTTTGTGTGTAAAACCTTAATGCAGCTAGTAAATATAGCTTTTCAATAAATGTAGAAATACGAGAGCAAAGTACCTCAAAACTCAAAACATACTGAGTGAATCTATTACTTTTCTGCCACTTTCTGCAGGTCTTAAGTTTAAATTATTTGAATGACAAACGCTTCAAATGTTATGTTTCTTTATCTCAGTTACTGTTGAAGTTTGAGTCTCCTCGATATGATATTCAAAGACTCCATCATTCATCAAAGTCTCTTTCTCCTTCGGTTCCCTGCTGAGGGTTTTTTCAAGTCTTGCGCTTTATAAAATTCATACACAGACATCTGTAGCTTTTAACAAATATTTTCAGATTGATTTGAATCCTCTGACTAAAAGCAACTTTATTGTCTGACATTAAGTTTGCTTTACTCATGAGAGTGTGTGTGTGTATGTATGTGTGTGTGTGTGTGTGTGTGTGTGTTTTCCACCCGTCATTACAATGCATTTGATTATATTCTGCTGTTGTTGGACGTCATATGTGCTGGATTTCCATCACATGACGGTCAATAACAGTGAGACACACACTGTATGATACCAGACTGGTGTTACAGTCAGTGTGAGTGTGTTGCTTATAGAACAAACAGCACTAATGTCATGCCAGGCCTTTGCACTGCATTGTGGGGGGGTTTTGATTGGGGGGACGAGTAAACACAGCCACACTGGCTTCTTGCGTGGTGTGTTTTGTAAGCAGGTAAGTAATGAACATTAACTTGGGTTTGCTCCTCTGTGTGTTGTTATCTAATGTCTGGTACTGGTGTGTAACATGTAGGCCACAGTTCAGTCATTCATCACGTATGACTTTTATGTATCTTTTGAGTCTGAGAGTGTCCGATCGGCAGACTGGAGTTTACAAACACGCCCTAGTTTCAGCAATAATCTCACTGGTGAAGCTATAAAAAAAACGTATCTTAAAGGAAAACTAGGATTTATGACAACCTGGGTATTGTTTATGTATTTCTTGAACTCGCCAAGTTAATTGATGATCTCTTATATATTATTTGGGGCTTTTTTTTGGCCCTTATTTGGAGAGAGAGGGGGTATGACATGCAGTAAGGACTCAGCCTCTGTACATTTATTTATTGTTTATTTGTTTATAAGGACAAATGTGCAGCATAAACAAATGCCACACACCACAGCATTTATAACCTGAGCTAAAAAATCAAACCCAGAAGTCACATGTTGCTTTTAAAAGGTTACGAGGGTTTATCTGGTTAACTTACTACCTTTACTACCTGCTGGTAATAGCGATGCATGTTATGGATTCTGTTTCAGCCAATAGGATAATCGATAATATCGCATTTTTGTATTTTAAAGAGAAGTTCACACCTGAAGGTAAGAAAGGCTGAGATGTAGTGATCAACGATGGATAGGATGGAGCTAACTAACATTGCTGTTGTTAACACAACAAAAACAAACAAACAACAGTTCTGATCCTTCAAATGTTCATTTATTTATTTATTTGTTCGAGTAAAATTAAGAAGTTAAAAAACGTTCATAGAACATAAAGCTTATCAATCATTTTGCATAAGAATTCCAAATAAATGATTATTATAGTTAAATTATCCCGATAATTAATAATAATTAAGTAGGTTTCCATTATTGGGCGATAATTCACCTGCCCCAATAATTATCGTGCATCCCGACCTGATAACATTTAGTTTTTATTCAGTTTCCAGCAGCACATGAATGCAGTGTAAAACTCCACTCTGCATCAGACAGAGGCAGATTGTGTTCAGTGTGTGTGAGTTTGTATGTGTAGGTGTGTGTGTGGGTGTGTATGTGTGTGTGTAGGTGTGTGTGCTGCAGCGTCATCATTGAGGAGTGGTACCCTCCTGCAGTGTGTGTGTGTGCATCTGTGCGACAGTGTTTGTGTATGCAGGAGAGATGTGAGGGTTATTTTTTTGTAACGACTGAACCTGTGACAATAACCCGACACTGACGGCGCCCTCTTGTGTCAGCCCGCAGCCTGCGTCTGAGCCCGTGGGAGAGCCGGATCGTGGAGCGGCTCATGACGCCTACGCTGTCCTTCTTGGCCCGCAGTCGCAGTGCCGCCACCCTCCTCAACAACAGCGACTCTTGTGAGTGTGAGATAGCATCTAGATCTTTCTACTCAATGTACCTACAGTCCCCTTTCCTGCACTGGTCAGCAGTGTGCAGGGACGGACGGAGGTCACCAGCTTCATGTTTTTAGCTGCAACTAACAATTGTTTTCATTCTTGATCTTGGGAACAACAATCTCACCACGAGTTCCATGTACAGTAGTTCTGGAGCTTTCAATCATCACCTGACCTTCATCAGCTGACGGAGTTTGTCCAGTTATTTGTAGAATTTGTATATTTTGTTCCAAATGCTCCACACAAATTGAAATAGACCTTGTGGTGAGATTTCTTAACAATAATTATTTTAGTGGTGAGAAATGCACAGCCCAGTATCCCAGAGCCCATCTTTATATTGCTTGTATGTTCAACCAAAAATCCAAAAATTAAACTCTCTTACTCTTTCTCTCTATGTATCTATCTATATTTTTATATAAAACCCTATGGTGATATTTAAATTGAAGATAAGGCTACAAATAACAGTTGTCTTCAATATCAGTTAATTTATTGTATTATATGTATATGCTACTCAGAACCCAAACAGTCCCAAACCCAAAGATATTTAATTTACAATGATATAAAACCTTCACATTTGAGAAGCTGGAAGCAGCAAATATTTGGCATTTTGCTTTGTAAATAATGTGTTTCAGTCACTTTTTTTCTCTGTGTATCGATGTACATATTTTTTTTTATATATCCCTGAGGTGATATTTTGCTAGTTTGAAGATAAGGACTGTTTTCAATATCAGTTAATTTGTTCTATTATTTGGTTAATCAGTTAAAAGCCTCTGAGCACCCAACATAACGTCGTTAAATGGTCCGTAACAAAAAGATATGTAATTTACAATTATATAAAACTGAGAAAACCAGGAAAAAAGTCACATTTGAGAGCAAATATTTGGCTTTTTTCTGTTTTTTATAAATTACTTAAATGATTAATCAATTAGCAAAATACTTCTGAGGGTAAATTGCTCTGTTCCTGTTATAAAAAAGCTATAAAATGCACTAATGGATAACTATAAAAAGATGATTGTGAGTGAAATCAATAATATTCTATTAAAAAACTGTAAAATGAGTCACCTCCTCCTTAGTTATCATTACCTTATCTGTCAGATATTTGAATCATTGTCTGGTAGCATGTTGTGTTCAGCGTGTGGCCTCACTGAGAGGCTTGTTATTTACACTCGGCATGGTGTATGTGTGTGTGTCAGGGCCCTGACCTCGGCCCTGCTGCCGCTCTCTGCATGTTTATGTGTTACTTAGACTCTCACCACTGCTCCCGTTCAGCCTCTGCCAGCCCGCTGAACGCCTGCTCCCATCACCACCCGCACGCCGCTGAGCGCTGGAGGGTCTCCTCCGCCAGCACGCCGGACATCACCCAGCGTCAGCGCCGACGAAACTCCACACCGGTAGGACGCACAAACCTATTTTAAATATATGCTCTGTTTTTGATGTGGATTTTTTTAATGTAGTGACGGAGATTTAACTGTTTTGGAAGCACAAGACCCATCATTTTTTAAAGGCATACTAAGCAGAAAACAAAATATAGACTATAATAATAATAATCCCTCTCAATCACCCTCAAATGACACAGGAAGTGTGTGGCGGTGTCTGTATTCCTACTTAGCGTGTCTTTCAGTTTATCTTTTGTGATGTTATCCATCATCTTTGGATCTATCCTGACCCATCAAACTTTTTTAAATGGGAATGTAAACTTAGATTTGAACGTGCACTGCACTTATATACTTTACATGAACAATGGATTCAATTACTATCTGTAATGTGAAATGTGTTGCTGTACCGAGCCTCTTGGCATCTTTTAGCTTTCTGTTTTGGTTTACCATCATCAGCATTGTTTACAGTGGCAAAACTTTAAAAAACCTGCTGTCCACAACCTGCTCAGAACCAAACAGCAGACAGACACAGTTAGCGACTAGCTGGTGAACATAACGGAGCATTCAGCAGCTAGAGAGACAGATATTTTACTCAGGAGTTGGTGGAAACAGAGTAAAAGAAGAGGGAATATTGGCCTTAAATTAGTCTGTCTTGAAACAAGACTCCAAATTAATAATAATGCTGTAAATAAACACACAACCTGAGACAGTAGTATGTCAGTGTCAGACGAAGAAATCCATAAATGCAGACCTAAATAACAATAATTTCACATTTTAGTGATTAAATATAATGTGCAAAGAAGATAAACTGTCGTGCAGGAGCCTCTATAATGTTTCCAGCTGACATTTAAGATAAAACCTTTATCCAGCCTCAGCCTGTGGTCATAACTGGTTATTTTCGTCACGTCTTTCTTCAAGGTGGACAAAAAGAAGAAAGAGAAGAAAGACAAGGAGAGGGAGAATGAAAAAGAGAAGAACGCTATCACAAAAGAGAAAGTGCAGAAGAAGAGACAGACGACATCACCCGCCACCACGACCCAGAGATCCAGGCCAGAGACCAGGTATCGTCTGGAAACACAGACAAACCTTCCACCACCTCTGTCGACACATACATCCTGTTATCTGTGTTTTTAACTTGTTTAATAATGTTAAATTATTCCTATATTAGCTGATGTAGGAGGGAGGCTGAGAGAGAGAGAGGGAGCTCATGTGTCCTCCTGCTTTATCCTTGGAGCAGGTTAATGTCTGACAGATGGTCCAAGGTGCTATAATCTAACTACTAAAAGAGACTCTGCTGGACGCCGTTCAGTCAGCGGCCGAGCGCCAGTCTGCCAACAGCAGAGTGCGGAGCTCTCTCAGACAGAGTGGAGTTTTCCCGACTGATTCACAGGGGGGGGAAAACAGAGATGGCTCCATCCTCACCTCTCATATTACACCCCCCCCTCCCACCCTACAGCCAAAGAATCATGGTGACCGAATGTGGAGTTTCAGATCGAGTCACTCATATCTTCCACATGACCTAGTTATGGGCTTTATGTAGTGCACTGGGAACCTCATTACCTTTTCCTGCACCGCTATGAAATCTCATCTCCTGTGCCGCCAGCTCACTCTCCCATCTCTTTGACTCTTTCTCCCACTCGTGTTTCACCTCCACTGCCATCTCTCTCTCTTCTTCACATCAGCACCCCGAAGCCCAAAAACAGACCTCCTTCACCCGCCGCCCCCAAAAGTCGGCCCTTGTCCCCGTTGGTGCCTGCGGCGGCCTCCAAGACCCCCGTGGGCAAGAAGACACCTCCTCCTGGCACCAAGACTCGACCCAAACGAGCCCAGACGCCCGCCAGGGTACAGCCCCAGACGGTCACTGCGGTCGCCGTGGAAACAGGCCACGAATCCCAGCAGCCTGACACGCCAGAGGAGAAAAAGAGTGAGTGTGTGGTTACCATGGAGATGATATAGCTTCAAGGTGACCTAGAGATTTTGGCCGACATTTGTGTTGAACACACGTGATTACAGCAGTGGGTGGGTGTGACTTTACTGTTTCACACCTTCAGGTCTCAGTTATGTTGGGCAACCAGCACCAGATAGGGTAATAACAGAAACATCAAACTTTTTGTCTTTTTTGTTAATTTTCTGACACAGTTTCTGCCACAAATTTCACTGCATGTAGTTGACGCAGTTTTGTGAAAAATCTTGATCAATTAAAGCTTCCCTCTCCGATAATAACTCCCTTGGGACTGTTCGTTCCTACCAGTCCTCCCCCCAGGTGTCGCCGTCCAAAACAGGAGGATAAACGTTGGAGAACAGCTGATCCCATCACCTTCTCTCTAATGAGGCCGACCAAAGTGTCGCCTGGAGCTCTGCTTTTTTTTAATTACAGGCCCAGTAGACGAGTGACAGAGCAATGAACTCTGTCTGGGTTTAATTTTAGTGTCGTTGCCAGAAACAAAAGTGATTTTTCAAATAAATTTTACGTTTAAGTCACAATATTATTATTATATATTAGAAGGCGACTACATTGTTCCCTCATGTAAAATCTAACTGAATATAAACAGAAATGAAAAAATACAACATGCCAAAAACTAGTTCCACTTATTTTATTTACGGCACTATGTGTTTTTTTAACGGCAGATGGATCATTGTGATGCCAGGTAAAATGCTGAGTATAGAAAACATGATGGTTGTAGGATAAAAAGGAAATTCTTTAAAAAACTACCATCATCTGCTCTCGGTGGAATATTTGAGCTTCGTATTCATATTCGACACTAACAGACAACAATGTTTCCTCATTGGCCCTGTTTGTCACAGCCTACCTTTAATATATGATAATATATTCTTTTTCTGGTCCAACCTGGATCCATGTGCGCCACAGGTGCGCCCCTCAAGCCTGGCCACAAATTTACCCAAAGTACATTTGGCACACCCCCGACACTCTGAAGGGCACGCTTGACTGCAATCTGCGCTGAAAATTAATGAAAATAGAGGCCCTTAATGTCTGTTCTGGATAAATCAGCTTCACACAGTGGACACTTAACTGGAAACTGTTCATTTATTAAAATGAGAATTCAATGTTGAGTCAGAGCTACGTCATAAATTATTTAAAAAAAATGTGTCATCTGGTAGTCTGTGGTGATTTGTCCTCGTCTTATTCTTCAGATATTTTTAATAAGCATGTTCTTGGTAAACCAGGCGTTTGCTCCCATATTACTGTGTTTTTAGCAGAGGTGATAAAAGTACACATATTCTTTACTCAAGTAGAAGTCCAGATACTCGTGGAAAAAAGTAAAATTTACTCTCTGAAGGACATTTCTACTGACTGTTTCTGTGCAACTAAAACTTCAAAAATTAAGGGTTGTTGTCCGTTTTTTCTTCATAATGTCTTTTACTTAACGTTTTTTGTGTCATCAGTGATTTGCACAGGTCTTAGTGATGGGGAGGCGTGCGATGATGCAAAAAATGAAAAACAAAAGAAAAAGGAAAATCAATAATTCCCCTCAAATGCATTAAAACTAAAGGAATTAGCCTGTTTTGGACATATAAGGAGAAGTAATTTGGGTATAAATGCAAATAAATACTCTAGTATGAAGTATTTGCCCTTTGTTACTTCCATCCTTTGGCTTTTAGAAAAAGCATCTTCTGTCCTCTCTTTTCCTCTCTGATAGACTCCAGTAATGTTCCTGCCATCGTGGTGTCCTCTGCACCGGTCACACCTCCTTCCCTCACTCTACCAGATGTATCAGCAGCCTCTCCAGCTGTGCCAAACAAAGAGCCGGTTGCCTCAGCTGCTTCTCCTGCTGCAGCCTCCACCAGTAATCCCGCTCCTTCTGCTACACCCGCAGCCGCCACCGCCGCTGCTGCCTCCACCCCGGCAGCACCTACCAGCAGGCCATCAGCCGGCACCAACAACCCGGAGGAGGCTGCTCGTGTCCTGGCAGAGAAACGCAGACAAGCCAGAGAGCAGCGGGAGAGAGAGGAGCAGGAGCGTCTGGAGCAGGAGCAGAAGAACAAGTCAGTCCGTCAACAAAACACCTCGTTATCCATCATATAATGTCATCTAAAGTTTATAGACAGTGTGTACAAAATTACATTTTATCTTTACTGCCAAGAGACAGAACATTAAAAAATACCATGTTGACAAAATATCAGAAACACCTTATAATATGATGAAATCTAATACAACAGTCCTGCAATAAAAAACACCTTTTAAACTTGCATTGTATTACATCACATTGTAAAGTTATATTGTCCTTCCCAAGAAGTTACCTTGCTGCAATCATTTTTAAAGACATTTTGGTAACGCTCCCTGCACATATTATGAGCCCCTTCGAGATCGTATATAACACGTACGCGTCTCTTCAGGATCCTCCGGGAGGAGGCGATGGCCCGGGAGGCAGAGGAGAGGAAGCGCAGGGAGGAGGAGGCTCAATTCATGGCTGAGCAGCAGCGTCTAAGGGACGAAGCCCAGCGAGCTCAGGAGGAGAAGGAGGCACAGGAGAGAGCCAAAGCCGAACAGGAGGAGAACGAGAGGCTGCAGAGACAGGTCAGTGACCAGGAACCGGGAACAGTCTTAGTTCTGACTCTTGTGCCATTTAACTGAATCCAACTTGAGTGAATTAAACCAGCGTACTTACGAGTCCAAGAGGCAGGGAAACCAGTGTATGACGGTTTATTTGAAGGACTTGATGTATACACACTATACAGTAAAATCCATGTGCACCCAAAACAATAATGTATGTAGCAAATACAAACATACTGCAACCTTAATTGTGTGCGATGCCCCTTAAAATTTTCAATGAGCTCAGAGAAACTTCCCACTTTCAGCAGATGAATGTGAAAAACATCCTTCTAGTGTCAAACTCTGCACATACATCTCTGCACAGGTGAAGATCAAAATCCAACTGCAGAAACAAGACAGAAAACACATTTTTGAGTTGGGAAGTGGGGACTCAAAAGGGGTGATAATACATATTTCCGTTAATAAACCTGTTATATGTCATTTGTTCCAGTGTTAAACTCATAAACCTGCTACATTTTGACTCCATGAACACACTGCAGATAGCTAAATGGAATCAAACCCTCAACCCCCCGCTCTAAACTCACTCCGCTACCAAAATTACTTGTGAACTGTAAATACTGTACGCACTGAAAACCCTCTAATTTTCCATTAACCAACATGAATCCCTGTGATCCCTGCATGCAGTAAGCCCATTTACCATCTGGGCAGATTAATGAATACGAGGATGCCTGAGCTGTTGGGGGGTTGGAGGAGGGCTACTGTACTTGAGCCCAAACATCAGGCCCGGTCTGACTCCCTCACCCCCTGACTGTCTGGCATCTGGGCAGATTAAAGGGGGAGAATATGTGCCGCTGCCACGGACGATGTGTGTCATGCGTGAGCCCGGTTAGTCAGAGGCCCCTTGTCTGCCCGGGCAGATGCCAGCTGGTGACCTCCATAATGGTGATGAGGGAGCCATTGTGATGGTGACAGGCCTGTGTTGCCTCCGTCTCGTACTCTTGGCTCTGCAGTGGGCCGATAGTCGGATAAGCAGCGTCAGTGTATGCCATGCCTGAAGCTATCAGCTATGCCCGGACTCCCCTTTTCCCCCTCAATCGGACCATTGTTCCACCCTGACAGCGCACTCACTCGAGACTAGAGTGGCCTCATGTATTTTAGAGCTCAATTTAGTTCAAGTGTTGTGCTCTCCGCACTGGAAACAGTCTGAAAAATGTCTGTGAACTGTTTAAGATTTGTGTCCATAAAATATAAATCAGCTGACTGTGGTTTACAGAAGTGATTTTAAAAACAGCTGGTTACAACAGTTGACTGATTTACGCACACGTCATAATTTCTGTTTTTATTGCTGATTTCAACACATCTGTTTCGTTGGTGCTGAGACTAAATATTCACTGAAGCATGTAATGGAGTTACTCTCATAATATCAACCCTGGCCTGAATGCTGCGGAGCAGACTGAGCATGTGCTGCACCCTGGTGGCCGAGAGTTGTTCTCCATTCACACACAATGTAGAAGAACTCAAATCCTAATACTCCCCACACTGTGCAAACTAGTGAACCAGTAATAGTTCTGCATTCAAAATCTTACTTAAGTAGAAGTATATAAGTAAAACAGCCAAATGTACTTAAAGTATCAAAAGTAAAAGCAGTAAAATGCTCCTTGTCAGTGTTTTTCTATTATATATGACATTTATGGATTAATATTACCGTTGTTTGTTGTAGATTTTTAAGGTTGAGTTAATTTTAACTACTTTATTCACTGCTGGATAGTTTAATCGACAGCAATGCATCATATTCTGTAAGATCATCATATGTAAGAACCACGTATCTCTAAAAAGTCAACTTTTCATGAGCTCATAAAAAAAACAGTTTTCATCTTTGTTATGATACATTTTCCAGTTAATCCAAGAGGGGTTTTGATAGTTTTTTAACTTAAGAAGCATGAGAATTTTCCCAACCCATAAAAGAAGGGTGGGGATCTTCAACCAGTCAAAAAACCCTGATGTGAATGCTATTTATGCTATTTATTTACACACTTTATCGCCCCTGGAGGGAACTCTGTTTTCACAATCTGGACATGATCATCTCTCACAAAAAGAAAAACAAATACAGTGCACATATGGCCACACAGTATATACACGCACATCAATATGTTGTATTCAGGGAGTATTTTATGTAGGGACACTGAAAGGACAAAACTCCTGTCGCTAGCCAACATCTTGTAATGAAATTGGTCTGTGGAACACCTGTAAGTCTAACAAAAGAATTATAATTGAAGCCTAAATATCTGTATTCATGATCTAAACCCAAACATTATATTTAATCGACTATTTATTTAATATCTTTCACCACAAAAATAAGTCCAGTAAGTATAAGTTAAATTAAATGAACCGAGCATACAAAAACTTTAACAATACAATTTTACACATGTTCCTGTAGCATCTTTTTTTTACAGTGACAAAATTGGACATTGACACCTGTAAATCAAAATAAGTGTAAAATTTGACATTTGTTTTTTTTTGTCCTGAGTTTTGTCTGCAGGCTTCCTCTCCGGATGCCCAATCCACCACTCAGAGGTTTAGTGCAGCCTTTATTTAACCTGAAAGACAAAACTTGGGGCAGAAGAAAGTCCAACACACTGCTGCTCATGAAACTTTAACAAGATTAAATAATTAAAAGAATAAATATGTGTATAATTTAGAGCGTCTCTCATCTGAAGGACACTTTTTAGCAGCGAGAATATCAAACTGAAGCTGTAGAAGTAGGCGGTACAATTGCACCCTTGTTTGCACTGAGGATGTAATTTACACATTAAGCTATAACTGGATAATTGTCAATTGCTTTGTATTTATTCTCCGTGGGAATCTATCCAAGGGTTTCTGAAATGTGACAGAACATTTTCATAAAGTTAAACTTCAATTGAAAATAACTGACATCCTGCTGCTACCTCTCTCTTTGTAGCTGCACATCAAAACGAGGGTTGTTGGACTTTTTGCCTGAAATCAAAGCTTCATGATATCTTTTCTTTGTGTACAGAGGGAGGAGGCTGAAGCCAAAGCCCGCGAGGAGGCCGAGCGTCAGCGCCAAGAGAGGGAGAAACACTTCCAGAAAGAGGAGAAGGAGCGGCTGGAGAGGAAGAAGGTGAGGAGAAAAACAAACCTCAGCAGAGTTCAGAAAGTCACTCAGGTCACACTCGAGTTCATGAGTACTTCCTCCGCTAAAAAAAACATCAGCAGCTAACTTACTGATCTCTCTGTCTGATCTGCACAGCGCCTTGAGGAGATCATGAAGAGGACTCGGAAAAGTGATGCAGGAGATAAGGTTCGTGTGATTCCTTTTAAACAGGCTTGAAGAAACTAAACTTCCTCTTGTCTGTTTTGAAATGACAAAAGTCTTTTTGTTCTTTATAATCGCAGAAGGACGTCAAAGCGTCTCCACAGGTCAACGGCAAGGACACCGAGCTCAGTAAGGGTAAGTGTCACATCAACGCTTTGTGTGTTTGTGTCACATATGCTGTCAAATTTAATTCATTTATTATCTGTCCCCAGCAGCTGGAAACCTGCAGAGTCCCGGCACAGCAGTCCTCAGCCCGTCACAAAGCGTGTCCGCTCCTGTTGTGAACGGTGTGCAGCCCGCCGCTCACCAGAACGGCGTCTCAGCCAACGGAGAGGCGGCTGACTTCGAGGAGATAATCCAGCTAAACAACGGCGGAAACCCGGCGCAGACTCAGAGTGGGCTGGTGAGCGAGCCGATCCTGGCGTTTGAAGGTGGAGAGCCGTTCCTGATGAAGACAGGCCCTATGAAGCCTCAGCATGTCGCAGGTACGGTAGAGAGACACCAGATAAGATGTGATAATACAGAGCAGTAAACAGTGTGTTAGGTTTACTTTATGGTCAGTGAAGGTGGTCCAGATTTCAAACTTGGACTTTGTAGTATTGTAGTGTTGTATTTATCTTAGGGGCCGTTTTAGGGTCCTGACCCCAAAGTTGGGAATCACTATCGTAGATCAGATGAGTCAAAAATTTCACCCTTTCTAAGAAGGTGTAGGGCCAGTTAGAAAGAAGAATTTTACACACCTGGACTGGTGGTGCAGCCTTTTAAGGTCCAGTGTGTAACATTCAAGATGATCTATTGGCAGAAACAGTATATATGTAGATTCCCGCGAACACAGATGTGCATATATCTACGTGCTGTCATGCAGTTACCATAAAAAAAGACAGAAATTAATGACAAATAATAAACAAATTACAAACAAAATACCAGCCCATGATAACATTAAGACAAAAATAGCTATTAGCAATCTTAGATGTATTGTAGTCACAAGTTACTGTCTCAATTTAGAGCCTTATTTTCAATATTGATATGTATAAACCTTGTTGTCAACAAAATGTGAGAAAATGTGCATCATAATATCCCAGAGCTCAAAGTTACATCATTAAATTCTTAGTTTTATTTAACCTAAAGTCTAAAATCAAAAGATATTCAGTTTAATAGCAAATGTGACAAAGAAAAGCAGCAAATCCTCATGTTTGAGCAGTTTTATTCAACATCTAACAAATGTAAGTTATCAAAGAATTCTCTCCCCTTGTTGTTTTTCTCTCCCTGCAGAGGTCCTGTGAGTCCCCACACATCCATGGAGACGCGCCTTATGTCTCAGCTTGAGCTATGAGATTCATGCCACACCACAGCGGCTTATAAGAATAGTGTGCCAAACAAACAATGAACTACGCTGAACTCACATCTACAGTATCTGCCACAGAGGACAAAGACGAGGAGGAGCGAAACTCAGCCTGACGGGAAAAAAATTAAATAAAACCTCATCTGAAATATACAAAAAAAAGAAAAAACGCAACAACAAGTATTCTCTGTCTTCACCGCGTGTTATGGTGCAGCATTTGTCAAGTTTTATTGAAATGTCACATACAGATTTTATGGTGCACCTTAAAGATGACTGACTGTGTAACAAATTTTAGAAAATACAGTATAAGACCCTGGAAATACATAATATTTGACAATGGTTGTTATTATTACCGTCGTTACGATATTGTTATTGTTATCTTAAGTTGAACAGTGTGTGTGTGTTTGTTGTTTTTGTCTTGAATTATTGAGTTATTTAACATGGGGAGCATTGTAAGGACTGGCCACAGACAGTGTATGTAAATGTATAATGAGCCTGGCTGCCTCGGCCTCCTGTTACAGGGGATCTGTGAAATAAAGCTTTATGAAAGGGACTCGGCTCTGTGACTGTTTGTCTTCATTCATTCATGTGGAGACATTATTTGTGTATTTAATCCTGTCAGATTTTGTAATAAAGCTGCACAATTACTGTATATTAACATACTGTATAAGCACTATAAAGCACTACATTGTTTTCCTGCTACTATACTTTTACTCCACAAAAAATCAGTGAGAAATATTGTACTTTTTACTTTTGAGATGAACATTTGGTATAAAACACATGATAATCTTATAAATTACATCATATTTTACAGATTAAACCAGTGGTTTCTTACAAGAAAGAGTCTGGTTATGGCTCCTTGTGACATTTCAGAAATCTTTGAGTTGTTCGCAGTTCGACCAAACAGACAAAACTTTTCAGATTATTTAATTTAAATCACTTTAAGGAGCCCAGAGAGGTAAAATCATTCAATATTGCACAAAAAGGCAAAAATTAGTTAAAAGTCCCTAAAATTACTGCAGCGTTTGTTGTTGTCTTCTTACATTAATCATCTACCGACCCCCTCAGATTCATGTTGTGATCCATCCAAGGGCCCTGACCCTCAAGTTAAGAACCACTGGAGTTAAACCTAGCTCCACCTTGAGCAGCTGCAGCAGTAAAATGCTGCTTACACATTGATAAATCCTTACTTACAATCTATTATGTAATGAATAATAATATACCAGGTCATTTTTCTGCAGAACGAGTACTTTAACTTTTGCTAATTTAAGTAAAATACTACTTTAAGGTTTTTAATGCAGGACTTTTACTTATATTACTACCTTTACTAAAGGATCTGAGTACTTCCTCCACTGTGTCTCAGTAGTAGGTATTTATTTAGGGTAGTAAGGTCCAGAGCTGTTACTCCTTTAGCTGCATTAACATCAGAGACCAGAAGGTGGGAGCACAGACTCTGAAGCAGAATTAAAATACCAAAACGTATGCTGGAATATACTGGAAACCTTATAAGTTACTGAAAGGGGTTCTCCACTAATTTAGTGCTGCATTTTCATAAAGTTAGAGGAATTATAAGAGACAGATTTTAAAAAGAATAACAATAATTTAAGCCGCAGAGGACCATGTATCTTCCTGACTTTTATAATTAGGATGAGTCGTGCTCCTACATGACAAACCGGAGTCTCAGAGGACATTAGTCAACTGTTTCAATACAATGATTAATAACTCCTAATGATGAGTAAATTTAACATTTAATTTGTTCTCTCGAGATTTAGATGATTAAGGTTGTCATGTGAATGTAATGGAAATATTTTTAAAATAGACTCAGGAAACATAATGGGGTGGGATGGTAATCAAATGTGAAAAATGATTGTAAAACCTCAGATCTTCTTTGAGTTAACCACTAACTCTCAAATACATATAAGCACCTATCTCTCTAACACACACACACACACACACACACACATTTTAAAAACATCCTGACTTTGACTGTTGACAAAATTATGATTTTTAATTTTATCTAAAAATGTCAAAGTTATTCTGTTAGATACTTGCTCAAAGTACGCCAGTACCAAATGTCAAGACTTTAGACCACTCAGAACAAATGTTATGGCCTCTTTTTTTTAATACTAAATCAATGGGCACAAATGGGTTAATCACATTTTTTGTTATCATGACTTGAGAGATAGCCACAATACCACACCTACTAACATGTAAGTCCTACATTTTAAATATTACTTCTTCTTCTTACTACTAACAAAAAAGTATTAGCATTAAATCATAGATAGAATCACTTTACTGTTGTAATTATTATTTTCATTACTGGGCAGCTTAATTCGTAATAAAATATCATGATGTAAAGGTATAAAGGATTATATCTAAAGTACAAGTACCCATAAAATGTACTTAATCAAAGCACTGGAGTAAATGTACTTAGGTACATTCTGTCTCTTTATTTTTAGTTTTTTCAGTACTCTTTATTTGTCGAAATGTCTCTTTAGTGGAGACTTTTCAGTAAAGTACGTAATAAACAACCAACATCTGTATATTTAGCTAACTACTGTAAATCCCTCCCACCATAATTAGACCTCTCATAATAATGATTTAAATAAGTATAAATAAACTAATAGGCTTTGCTCAGGGAGTAAGTATATATATTTTTTATTTTATTAGTTATTTGTTTCTTGTATATTCTTCCATCTCGTATCAAACTGATTAACAAGATTCCTAATCTTATGATGGTGGTGATTTCAGCCATTTTTTTCTTTATCTGCTTTCGTGCTGCTTTTCTTAAAACCCTAAAAAGACATTTGTCATGTTGAGAGAGCAGCTGTGGTGTTCATGAGATTATTTTGGCTTTTACTCGACAATCCACAGCTTGATCTCTGGGAAACTGGATTTCACGTATGAAAGAATGAAAGTTTTAACAGGCTCCCTCTGTTTTCAGTAACAGCCTGTTTGTTTGGCTGTGGCTTTAGGTTTACACGCAGCAGAGAACTGACCTCAGACAGCACTGAGGTGTAGTCCAGCCAAAGGATCAAAGGTACCCCATGAGATCTGCTGTCCACTTTGCAATGAAGCACTCTAGCGATCAAATATTAGAAGCCTTGTGGTCGCTCTTGGTTTTTCCCTTCAGCTCCAGGTAACAGAAGTCTCATTGCTGCAGCAGCCAGTTAGTTTTGGTCACAGTGCATCTGTCACAGAGTCGCTAGCATATCGAATGTCTAACAAAATACACTGGACCTTGTTTCACTGTGACCACGATGCCATTTGGCACATAGATGTGATTCTGGACAGAAACCCGGAGGGGTGGGGGGGAGCAGGACGTGTCTGTATCTGTTTGCTTTGCTTCTGATGGCGACTTTGTAATTAGAAAGCTTACTCATTATACAATGCCGCGCTGCACACTAATGAGACCCTGTTTACTCATCTGTCTGAGGGCTATGCTGATGTTCATGGTTCTATTGTTGGACTGATGTTACCATGGTAACGTTACTCCGGTTTCACCTGCATGAGACAGGTGCAACACAGCTGTCTGACTTCTGAAGTTAATATTTCTCCATTTATTGATGGATGTGGCCGTTGGATTGAAGAATATTCACTTTATTGATCCCTAATGAGGAAATAAGCTGCCACATAGCGCCCCGGGAGCAGTTAGGGGTTTGGTGCCTTGCTCAAGGGCACCTCAGCAGGGGTCAGGAGGTGAACGAGCACCTCTCCACCTCCCAGTCAACACTCCATACTGCGGCCCATGCACTTGCATCGGCGAAACTCCGGTTCCCGAAGCCAAATCCTGACAGACGAGCTACTGCCGCTGCAAATGGCCTGTTCAGACATTCATGTTCTCCAGAGGATGAAGCCTAACGTATTTATTTATCCACCATGAGGTCGACAGTTTTTTGTTTTTTAGTGAAATATCACAACAAAAGGATATATTTTCATGATACTTGGTGCAGAGATTCATGTTTCCCAGAGGAAGAATCCCTCTGACTTCAGTAATCTCCTGACCTTTACTCTACCACCAGCAGCCGGTTCCTTTCATGGAAACATTTCTTAACATCTATGCAATGGATTGGTTTTCAGACATTCATAGTGCCCAGAGGATGAATCCTAAAGACATGCACCACTATGAGGGTGACATTTGCATCCGGAAAACTATTAGATGACTTTCATGTTCCCTCTCAGGATGAATTGTTATAACACAGGCGATCCCTCAACTTATCTTGTAGCGCCAAGATCAGGTCGGCACATTTAACTCTTCGAGTATGTTGGTTCATGACCAAATATCTGCAAAATTAATGACATCCCCATCAGTCTAAGCTGTGGAAATGTTAGCATGCTAACATGCTAAACACCTGCTAAAGTATGTTAGCGTTCCTAAATACAGCCTCACAGTGCTGCTACCGTGGCTGTAGTCTTTTGTTCAAACTCAGCTCAGTATTATGAATTTTAATACACTCTTCATCTTTTTTTTTAATACTTGAACTACTTGTTACAAGGGAGGCCAATACAGATGTACTCTACATGTGCTCTATCAGAAAATTAAGAAATATTTTATTGATTCCTGGCAGAGAAATTTGATTATATTACATTTTTTAATAGAAATGTATAAAAAAAACAAGAGATATTATAAGAAAAACAGAAAATAAGACATATAAAAATATGTGTACTACAATATATAAGAACCTGAATACATAAATAAATGATTTGGCAGAGAAATGGATCCATGAATAATAAATAAGATCATTCAAACGGAAGGAGTAGGAGAGAATAATGTTTGAATTATGTTGTCATGTTTCCTCGACAGTTTGTTATTTGCATAACCACTTTCTGACAGTGATATGAAAAGTATCAGGGCTGTGTCCTGGTTTGAATATGTGCTACAATGTCATTAGCCTTTAGCTTCTTTCAGGCAGCTATCTCTGGTCCCACATTGACCTGCTGGTTTATTGCCCAATTAACGTGACCAGAGAGTAACCAGAGACAACAACACTGAATGAATTACTGTTTCTCTGAGCGAGCAAAGGCTGAGCAGGAAGCTACACTGGACTGCAGCCACGTAGCTGAGTGATTCAACCTGCCCATCCTTCAGAAAACAAACAAAATGAGTCTTAAATGATGTCGCACATTTGCATTTTCCTTTCAGAATCACCAGCAGACATATTACATACTGTAACCCACAGATCATCACAAGCGCTTTCTTCAAACAACATCATTGAATAAGCCTCCAGAGGGTGAACTATTTATAATTCTGATGTGATTTCACCAAGTGGTTGTCAGACAGTTGGTTGCAAGAGTCTGTGCACGTTCTTAACAGTTTTCCTCACCACATGTTTCTATAAACGAGGAAGCTGAGACGCCTCACGCTTCTCTGTTTCACAGCACTTTCACTCTCCCCCTGCAAGGTGAGCCTTTTCCTTTCTCTTCTCTCTCATCTTTTCTTGTTGTTCAGCCATGTTTTTGTGTCTTAACGATAGGTTCTGTCGTCAATACTCTGAGAAAGTAGACATTGAGTTGTAGGTTTCATTGTCTTACTTCCTATTCTTTGTTGAATTG